TACAATGTTTTTTAAACCTGAAGATCACTGTTTAGTCACCTAAACACCACTTGGCTATTTCAGCCTCTAAGGATGACCACAGTAACGCTGACTGCTTTCTTTGTGTGTTCCTGAGTCATGGCGAGAACGATCATGTTTATGCATATGATGCCCAAATCAAAATTGAGACAATCACAGACATGTTCAGAGGAGACAAGTGCCAGAGTCTGGTAGGAAAACCGAAGATATTTATCATTCAGGTAAGATGTCTCCTTCTGAATTCAGTGGAGTTAACACTGACATACGTCTTGTAATACGGAAGTCAGCGTTCCTGATAGCGTCTTTCCACAAGGGAAAGGCTTTGCAGTTTTAGGAAAGAAGGTATGGAAAAGTGTTCCTTAAAGGCATTTACGACAAGAATTCTTTTCTTTTTTAAAAAAAAAACCCTTTATGTACACAAGTGTTAATATTATGATTCTAGCTGTATTTAATAAGTAATTTTATGAAGAGCAACCCAAATTAAGCCTGTGTCAGATTGACTGTCAATGTATATTTAACGGCAGAGAAGACAGTATCATTTTTTTTGAGAAAGTTGTGTACAGCCTTAGCTCAGTTCCTACTGTTCACACCTCACAGCCCTAGGCTAGGCTGTAGAAGGCTGTCAAACTTCCTTACCTTCCCTGTTTCCTTCCAGGCAAGTCCCTTTATTTGATCCTTACAGAAGCTGGTTCTTGCGAGTTTCTTTGTGGCGGTTTTGGTTGGTTGGTTTTGTTGGTGGGGACTTTTTTTGTTTGTTTTGTTTTGTTTCTTTTGTGACTGACCGATACTTGGCACCTCTATAGAATTTAAAGAATCAATTTAAGGCTTTATTGTCTCAGAAATACTGTTTGCGCTAAGCAGTCAAATAAAACCCATATGTAACCTCCTGCTTCACAGGATAATGCAAGTTGGAAGGGACCTCAGGAGGTCTCTGGTCCAGCCTCCTGTTCAAAGCAGTCAGTTATGGGGTCAAACCAGGTTTCACAGGGCTTTATCCAGATTACAGTTAGCAAACTCACATGAGAACCTGGCCTTCAGCAGATTGTAATTGTACTAATTTATAGAGTAATTCTAAGAATTACCTTTTTTTTTTTTTCCAAATGAAAGTGTCCTTAGGCGCAAGGCTACTGCAAGAATCAGCACATTGTTAATTAATCTTTCATTAGGCTTTGGGGTTTTTTTTTAACCAGATGCCAAAGATGGAAAAATATTTACACATTTCAATTTTAAGTTTTAAGTAATACTTGAAAACATGTATAATATATACTCATCAAAAAGCAAATTAACTTAGTTCAGTTCATCAGCTGTGTTCTTTTATCCCCCCTTTGGAAATCAGAGGAGACATCAAGGATGGAACTTCATCACTGCAAATGAGAGATTTTCATGTTTCTCTATTTAGTGACAGTTCTTAAGTAATGTTCCTTACCTACTTTGTGTTTTTTGAGTGTGTTCTTACCTTCTTACCCTCCACGTAGAGCCTTTCTGCAACACCGACAATAATACTGGACTCACTCATTGGCTTCTCACAAAAAAACCTCCCTCAACTAAGATGTTTGAATCAAGAGCAGAAGTGTAACAGCATATAATGATGGCTGTGCTTCAGAGCATTTATTCAGCGCTGCCTTGACAACAGGTCTGAGGGAGGTGATTCTTCCTCTACACAGCACTGGTGAGGCTGCATCTGAAGTACTTTGTCCAGTTCCGAGTTCCCCAGTACAACAAAAATACAGGCTTACTGGAATGAGTCCTGCAAAGGGCCAGAAAGATGATTAAGGGATTGGAGCATCTCTCATATGAAGAGAGGCTGAGAGAGCTGGGACTGTTCAGCTTGGAGGAGATGGCTCAGGGGAATCTTATAATTGTTATAAACACCTGGTGGGAGGGAATAAAAAGAGAGGGAGCCAGGCTCTTTTCAGTGGTGCCCAGTGACAGGACAAGAGGCAACAGGCACAAATTAAAACACATGAAATTCCATCTCAACACAGGAAAACGCTTTTTTTACTGTAAGTGTGGTCAAACACTGGAAGAGGTCACATAGAGAGATTGTGGAGTCTCCATCTATGAAGATACTCAAAAGCTGACTGGACATAGCCCTGGACAACCTGCTTTAGCTAGGGGGGTTGGACTAGGTGATCTCAAGAGGTCCCTTCCAATCTCAGCAACTCTGTGATCATCTCAGAGCTTTCTCTGGACTTCATCACCAATATTTTAACTGACAGAGAAATTGTTCTTTATGAATCCAGAGTCACGGTAACATGGAACACCTAACTGAACAGAAGTTCCCTTTGGTTAGTGTCAGAAGTATCCCATTGACGTGGGTGAGCTTGGCAGAGGTGAAAGCATAACAGTACTTCTCACCAACAGGCATGTCGAGGTGATAAACATGATGTTCCAGTTATTGCTCAGGATTTAATAGACAGTAGCAATGAATCCATTGTCAATGAGACTGAAGTGGATGCAGCTGGTGTTTATACCCTGCCTGCTGGTGCAGACTTTATCATGTGCTACTCTGTGGCACAAGGTAAGTTCTAATATTTTACATCTGATGTCTGATACTTCACTGTAACAAGCTTGTTACAGTCAAAAAAATGAGTACAGTTCCAGGTCATCTGTTTTACATGTCTGATAAGTGACATCTCATCTGGAAATGAGCTTCACATGTTAAGGAAAAAGTGAAAACAAACTATCAAGGTTGCCGTTAATTTGCCAAGCAGAAACATTCTCATATGTCTTGCTGCTGAGCTGTCTGCTGACAGCAAGCATGCCCCTCTTTTCTAGGATTGAAGGATTCTGGTGGCTTATAAATTTCCTCTCCAGTCCTCCATGTATCTTGTCTCGTGTGCTCTCTTGTAACATGCAGATACAGTCCTGTAAGCTACCAGTCCCTGAACCATGCTCCTCCTCTTGGCTGAGCACTGCAAGTGATCTCAAAGCCATTTCCCGTCTACAATTTACAGAGAAATTACATAATTAGCAAAGTAAGATTTACACCCATGAGTAATCCCTTACGGATGCAGCGAGCGAGCAGTAACTCTCATGAATGTTTTTCAAGTGGCATCACTACTTACATTTGGATATAATTTTATGTCCCTGTTCTACAATAGGTTACTTTTCTCATCGTGAAACTGTAAATGGCTCCTGGTACATTCAAGATTTGTGTGAGGCGCTGAGAAAGCACGGCTCTTCCTTGGAGTTCACAGAACTTCTTACTGTTGTTAACAGGAAAGTATCTCATCGCAAAGTGGATATGTGCAGAGATATTAATGCTATAGGAAAAAAACAGATTCCTTGTTTTGCCTCAATGTTAACTAAAAAATTGTATTTTCATCCAAAATCTAAGTAGATTGTTGTTTAACAATGACAACCATTACCTAGCAGTCACTGCAGAAGTGAAAACCATACTATCTTAGTTCAGGAGACTAATATTCTACAAGATTGCAAAAACGCTGGGATCAAATGTTATAGTTTGTATACATAATCGTTTCTAAAATCTTAGAAGCAATTTTAAAGCTAGTGTTATAGCTCTGTTCATCTCAGGGAATTTGGGAAAAGTTGACTTGTACAAAACTATTAAGAGGTGCTCAGATTATATTGAAATTGGTACTCTAGGTTACCTTTTTTTTTTTTACAAGGCTTTTGCTTGATTGTCATCTAACTATGACACATTTTACTATTTCCAAAACATTTGCAATCTCAAAACATGCAAATGTTGCATTAGATTAGCTTGTCTTGCTCCAAGAGCACTGTTTACAGGGAATATGTTTGTAGGGCATCTTTTTAAATCTGTGGACAGCAGTATCCACCTTCCAATTTTTCTGAATTGATTGAGCTTTTTAGACTTTTTTTTACTCAACACTAAAAAGGAACGAAATTCCTGAGTACAACTGTAACATGAATATAGATAAAGGGCTTCTTTTTGCTTGCACATCATTTACATTTGGGGCACAATTACAGCTTGCTGGTGCTTTGCATTCTCAGGAGAAAAGCAAGCAGTAACGAGATGAGACCACGTACAGCTTGCTTAGCATGACTTTGGGTACGCTCGCCTTGCACACCCCTCTAAAGCTAAAGGAAATAATTTCGAGGTTCCAGGCTCACTCATAATTGCTGGACATCTCTAGGCAGCTCTGCAAAATACAACATATGCAAATCCTCACACTTCAGGCCTTGGTGTTGGATCAGCCTCTTCCTCCCCTTGGCCCCAGAGGAGATCAGCCACGCTCTGTCACTGTGTACATAAAAGCAATAGTGCATTTGTCACCATAGGACTGTTACTACTGCAGCATCAGTAATTTCAATGATACTGACTAGAAGCAAATATTTCTTTTATTATTTTTTACATTACTGGTACATATGCTTAACTCTGAGGGACAATGGAGAACTCAAGCTGAGAAAAGTGTCTTCATCCACTTTCCTGGGTATAAAATAATTGATTTTCTGCTTTAGTTAAATCTTTCCATGTACTATGTTCTGAGTCATAGATATTAAATCTTACTATGGCTACTTTTAAGCTGTGTATAAATCTTGTATATTTGAATGTTTTGATAAATTCTTTCAATAAAATGCAACAGTGAAACATAAATGATTTTATAGTAAAAGAGTCTGATACATTTTACATTTCTAGCAATATTCACTAAAAAAGCTTATTGGTGATGCAAGTCTAACGTCCACCAATGGTGTTACACCAACAGAGTCAATGCACAGAGCTAAGGAAAAGGAAACAGTAATGTCAGGGAAAAAAAAAAAAATCCTTAATACTCAGTGCAGAGGTTAATTATTCTACAAGCTATTGCTGTGCTATAGTAAATGGCACTAGAAGGAAAGCCCTTGTTCTATAAAATATCACTGTCATTTTATCAGCAGGCAGAATGCCTCCATTTTACAAATGAGGTTTAACAAACAGCTTGAAGAACTTTGCTTCAGCAGCTTCTCCATAGAGTTTTAAAACCAAGAAAAACAAACAACCCAAACCATTAAGTGACCAAATAATTTTTACAGATATTTATTGCAACTTTTAAAACTATAGTGGTCAAAAATATCCAGTTTCTGTAGAGTAATTAAATGTTCATATCAGCTTTTAAAGGGCAATTCTAATATATACAAAAGCAAAGTCAGTCCTTGTCATTGATTTCCTGGATTGGTAGCCTCAGGTGCAGAGGCTGGCGCAGACGCCTCGGGGTTTCTCCCCCCTGCCAGTGCAAGAAAGAGAGTGAGAAGTCATCATTCTGCAGCCCTCTGTTTTCTCCTCCTCTGTCACACATCCAGTATCTTTCTTTTCTCAGCAGGCATCGGCATTGGTCTTACGCAAGAAACCAAACTAACTGAATGGAGGACGCTGAACTTTCGCAGTCCTGCTCAGGTCATTCAGCCAGTCTCTAGAGAGAAGCACGTGCTCTGCCTGTCCATCCACTCACCCACACCCCAAAGTAGTATTTTCCTGATATTACGATTACAAAATTCTTACTCACAGGCTACTGAAAAAGCATCAAACTCTAGCCTTATGTCAAATGTGGCTCATGAAATGATACCCTGAACCATGTGTCTTGAACTAAAATTAAGAGTAGTTTCAATTTTCTGTTACGAGACATTGAACACAGGGCTGGCGAGATGGGATGGGGGAGTAAGAACTGAGGAGGGAGAGGTCTACACTTTTTCATGAAGGCCACGAAGTTTCTCCTAGGTGTGCACACACCACCTTTTCCATCCAGTCACCCATATTCTATAAATCTAAGCCTTTTACGTAAGGAATAGGATTAAGATGTCAAATGGCAAACTCTGCAAGACAGTCTCCTTCCAAGGAAGGGAGGAGATTGTGTTACCACGGCAGTGCAGCAAACATACTGTCTCCAAAAGCAATGCAGCTATTTTATTAAAATGGCCAAAATTACAACATATTAGGAGTATGTGAAAAAAGAATGTGTAGGGTTGATAAACTGACTTGTTTTAAATTGAATTCATGAAGATCTCCCTTTCTGATGACTTACTGAAGTAGTTTATAAGTCAATGGCAAACACTCTATGGTTATTTGAACAGCTGAACCTGGCCGATAAGCAATACACTGTTTTGAATGAAAGTAGCAAACCTTGAGGTCAATTTTCTGTTAGCTGAAAGTTTAGTGAAAAAGTCTTAAGCTAGAGGCTACCTCATTATTTAAGAACGGTATTTAAATACCTCTGCTAGGTCTTCTTTGAGCTTGTTATATCGTTCCACATTAAAATGCTGTTTCTTGGATTTCCGATAGAAGTAGTGGAGGAACTGCCTGTCTTTAGCATCAGGGTAAATGTAGTCCTGGTGAAGAAAGCAGGGCACATATTTGGGGTTAGCAAGAAAACTGGAAGTCAGAAGATTTTCTGTACAAATGGGTTTTCAATAGAAATTCAGCCTGTTTCAGGAAGATTTATCTAGTTAACACACACCTATGTTCTGTTAAGAAGCAACATATGAAGTTATGCCCTTATAGGTTGTAAGGGCCTTTTAGACACATGGTGGGAATCATTTCTATCATGTCTACAGGAATTTTCAATTATAATAAAGACACAGTGTGATCTTCATCACTGGAGTCACCTGAGTCAATGGACACCACTTCCAAAGAGTCAAAGAAAGTTCAGCTACTATTTCTCAAAGACTTATTTGAAAGTCTCAAGCAATGGCACCAGCAGCTGTTCAAAAAAAAGCCAAGCAGTAATCTCTTTACCTGCTCATATACAAAAAGCAGGCATGCCTTAGCCCTTCTTAAAAATCAGTGAGGAGGAGTAAAACTCCCATTCAGAGCCAGCTCTTCATAAAAACACACAGCTCCCCTTTTCACTACAGGAACCTGATGTCTCATGAGGTCTATAGATCCATTGGTATTATGGAAGGAAGTGGTTACTCTTCCACATACCTCCATAACAAAAAGGGGCTTGCATCACAGGAAGTTTGACGTCAAGATGTCCACTTTGGGAATAAAGTACAGAGCTAAACTAAAACAGGACACAGAAACGTTTCTCAAAGTCTTACAGGATTTCAGGACAAGTCTGTATTGTGCAGCTCAGTTAAGATCTGAGCTTTTTTTCCTCAACAAACTTTTTTTTCTTCTAAACAATGCCTGTTTCCTGCTCCGTTTCAGCTGTCCTAGATTTACCTCTGTTCATTGAAAGTCAAGGAAAAGCAGTCAGATTATGAAGAACAAAGCAATATAATTTTTTCAGGCACTAGATTAGGTATATTTCAATAATACAACTGCCAGAGTTCCAAACTGTTTGGTACCCTGCACCATTTATACATAAACTCCATCAAATAAAAGCTACTGTTCAGTGATTTGCTTCCGTAAAGGCAGCGTTCACCAACTGGCACAGCACTGCTAGTTGCTCTCCCCTTACAGCAGTGAGCAAGGTGCCGTTTACTATTCAAAATGATCTACAAAAACTAAAATAAA